CTGTTGTAATAACATACCATGATGTGAACACTAGTTTCTGTCATATGGACGTTACTGCTGCCGCCATCTTGACAAACTATATACATCAAGATACTGCCACTAGCAGAAGTCTCTACTTCCCAGTTTTCTTTGTCCTGTATGAACATATAGAAGAGCCATGTGTTGTCAGTGCCACTAGCAGAAGTCTCTACTTCCCAGTTTTCTTTGTCCTGCATGAACACATAGAAGAGCAACATGCTGTCAGTGCTACTTGGGGAACAACAAATATAATGTTGACACTGTGGAAACGATTTCTGCTGAGAATCTAAACTTTTAGCTATAGTGCTGAATGACAATGTTTGCTTTGATGTCATCCTTTGATCTGACCAAATGGAAGTAGGTGGCATATAAATGCAGGGATAATCCCAGGCCACACACTCAGTGTCACACCCACTATCATCTTCATTGTCAAACCCTCGCTATCACTCACTGTCACACACCCACTGTCACACACTCACGGTCACACACCCACTATCATCTTCATTGTCAAACCCTCGCTATCACTCACTGTCACACCTTCACTGTCACACACCCACTGTCATACACTCATGGTCACACACTCACTGTCACACACCCACTATCATCTTCATTGTCAAACCCTCGCTATCACTCTGTCACACACCCACTGTCACACACTCACGGTCACACACCCACTATCATCTTCATTGTCAAACCCTCGCTATCACTCACTGTCACACCTTCACTGTCACACACCCACTGTCATACACTCATGGTCACACACTCACTGTCACACACCCACTATCATCTTCATTGTCAAACCCTCGCTATCACTCTGTCACACACCCACTGTCACACACTCACTGTCACACACCCACTATCATCTTCATTGTCAAACCCTCGCTATCACTCTGTCACACACCCACTGTCACACACTCACGGTCACACACCCACTATCATCTTCATTGTCAAACCCTCGCTATCACTCACTGTCACACACCCACTGTCATACACTCATGGTCACACACTCACTGTCACACCCACTATCATCTTCATTGTCACACACCTCGCTATCACTTCTGTCAAACCCTCGCTACACCCACTGTCACACACCCACTGTCACACACCCACTCACGGTGTCACCCACTATCATCTTCATTGTCAAACCCACGGGGTCACACACCCGCTATCACTCACTGTCACACCTCGCTATTCACTGTCACACACCCACTGTCATACACTCATGGTCACACACTCACTGTCACACCCACTATCATCTTCATTGTCAAACCCTCGCTATCACTCACTGTCACACCTTCACTGTCACACACCCACTGTCATACACTCATGGTCACACACTCACTGTCACACACCCACTGTCACACACTCACTGTCACACACTCACTGTCACACCCACTATCATCTTCATTGTCACACACCCACTGTCACACACTCACTGTCACACACTCACTGTCACACCCACTATCATCTTCATTGTCACACACCCACTGTCACACACCCACTGTCACACACTCACTGTCACACCCACTATCATCTTCATTGTCAAACCCTCACTATCACTCACTGTCACACACCCACTGTCACACACTCACGGTCACACACCCACTATCATCTTCATTGTCAAACCCTCGCTGTCACTCACTGTCACACACCCACTGTCAAACTCACTGTCACACCCACTGCCACACCCTCACTGTCACACCATCAGTGTCACACTCATTGTCACACCCACACTGTCACATACCCATTGTCACACTGTCACACCCTCACTGTCACACACCCATTGTCACACCCACACTGCCACACACCAATTGTCACACTGTAACACCCTCACTGTCACACCCACACTGTCAAACTCACTGTCACACCCACTGCCACACCCTCACTGTCACACATTCATTGTAACACACCTATTGTGACACTCTCACATTTACACCCACTGTCACACCCACTGTGACACACCCATTGTCACACCCTCACTGTCACACCCATTGTCACACACCCATTGTCACACCCACTGTCACACCCTCACTGTCACACACCCATTGTCATACCCACTGTGACACTCTCACTGTTACACCCACTGTCACACACCCATTATCACACCCTCACTGTCACACACCCATTGTCAGACCCTCACTGTCACACACCCATTGTCACACCCACACTGCCACACACCAATTGTCACACTGTAACACCCTCACTGTCACACCCACACTGTCAAACTCACTGTCACACCCACTTTCACATCCTCACTGCCACACCCTCACTGTCACACCCACTGTCACACCATCAGTGTCACACATTCATTGTCACACACCCATTGTGACACTCTCACTGTTACACCCACTGTCACACACCCATTGTCACACCCTCACTGTCACACCCACTGTCACACCCTCACTGTCACACACCCATTGTCATACCCACTGTGACACTCTCACTGTTACACCCACTGTCACACATCCATTATCACACCCTCAGTCACACACCCATTGTCACACCCACTGTCACACCTTCAGTCACACCCACTGTCACACACCCATTGTCACACCCACTGTCACACACCCATTGTCACACCCACTGTCACACTCTCACTGTCACATCCACTGTCACACCCTCACTGTCACACCCACTGTCACACCCATTGTCACACCCACTGTCACCTCACTGTAACACCCACTGTCACATCCTCACTGTCACATCCCCTGCCACACACCACCATCACACCTCACTGTCACATCTTCACTGTCACATCCCCTGTCACACACCACCATCACACCCTCACTGTCACACCCTCACTGTCACACCCACTGTCACCCACATCCATGTCCACACTCCAAGAATGTTCACTGTTTTGATAGGTGAGTATTTGTGATCCATTTTTTAAAATCTTTACAGAATTTTAAAACACCAAGCAGCCCCCCCTGGATGTTTGTCATGCACCTCATGAAGTAATGGCCAGACTTCAAAGGTCTTTTCGAAACTATGTCTTAATGGTGCAATTCATCTCTTTTAGCTTGAGTTCATAGTTTGTTTTTTTAAACAAGAAATATGGCTAAAAGATGCATTTGTTCTTATAGAGAATACAGCCTATTGCTGTGAGCATGTCCTAAACTCCATACGTAACCCACTTCATCTGTATCCACCAGCAGCAATAGGCTAGTGGTTTTACTTGCTTCTCCATAGCCTAAACATCAGGAATGGGAGATCCAGTTTAACAAGTGAAAGCTGTTTAATCTCCTAGTTTAGTAATCACATAATGAAACTAAAAAGCATTTTGGAAGAAGCATGCTTTACAGGTCCTGCAACTGACCTAAGATCTGCAACATTATGTGATTTGGATTGGACCGTGCTTTCACTCTTTACTCAGAGCATAACTCTAAAATTCATGGCTTGTTCTGCCAGAGTTTGAAGTTGAATTATATAGTCAGTTGACTGTCTTGCCTTGGGAAGATGCTTACAGAAGGTCAACTAGTGCTAGATTTGCTGTTGGTAGGTGCCTTGCTGTTGTTTGTTGCTTCTAGGCATGGAGCCCTAAAAAGGAAACAATTCCCTCCAAATTTTTAGTATTAACCTGTCTACCTGCATAACATTTTAGTACATGTATATTTCCTATTTTTCCTACTTTACTTCGTTTTGTATGCATAATACATATACTGAGTTAGAGTGGTCATGTCATTAGTTTTCTTCTGCTTAAACCTGTGAAAATCTGGTTTAGATTTGATCTTCAGTAACCCATGCTTGTCGTAAGAGGCGACTAATGGGATCGGGTGGTCAGGCTCGCTGACTTGGTTGACACATTATCATCGTATCCCAAATGAGTAGATTGATGTTCATTTTGTTGATGACTGGATTGTCTGATCCAGACTCAATTATTTACAGACCACCGCCATATAGCTGGAATATTGCTGAGTGTGGCCTAAAATTAAACTCACTCACTCACTCACTCTTTTGTTTAAGGATATTTCTAAAAGATTGCATATTTATTTGCAGACTATTAGCTAAAATTGTATCCCAAAGTTCTTCACAAACAGCAACAAGTAATAATAATAATAATAATAATAGTGGATTTGTATTGCGCTTTTCCATACTTGGATATTATGCTCAAAGCGCAAAATGAGATAATCATCTTCTAAATCTACTATATATACAGGACAAGTTCTCAGAGATGCATCAATATTTTGCTACCTTCCAGTTATATTCTTTAGATGTAGAGCAGTAAATTTGATACGAAATTTGTAAAATTTAAGTTTTAAATTTGAAGATAGATACCTTTTGGCTCATAAAGGCTCATATCCCGTAAATAACTTATATCATAAACTGTTTTCAAGAGTTGATGTCCAATATCACATGTTGCTAATCTGTCCATTTTATAACCGATGCAGATCCCAATGTATTCCATCCTATTTCTACAGCCCACCTTCAATTGTCTAATTTCGAACCCTTATGAAGATACAAAATATTTATGTTAACATGATTGTATTATCATTTATAATATTTCAACTCTACACACCATGACAATGTTGTATTACCTGTTGTACTCTTGGCCACATGGCCTTCAATTCTGAATAAAGTGATCTGAAATCTATATGAATGACATAAACTATCACCTCACTGACAGTACTGTGTTTACTTTCATAGCTAAATTTCAACAACATATGTACAAATCTTCTTCTTATCCTTTAAAAGTTTAGTATCAGCTTGTTTAAACACCCAGAAGCCCAGCCTGCCCCATACACTGCCTTACTATACTGTTTCAAAGGGCCCAGTTGTAACGCTATTCTATAGTAAATATATATGGTGTATGACTATGTAACATTGTCTCCCAGGTCACTCACAACCACACTGTGTCCCTACTCATATGTAGGCTAGGCTGTCAAACCGGTCTTCCCCTCGTCCCCCCTCATCCTCCACCCTCCCCCAGCCCAGTGCCAGCTCAAGCGTGAGGGCATTCAGAGCCACCCATTCATACAAGTTTACCTCTCGATCGGCCAAGCTGTCAGGCATTCCTACCTGTGCTTGGATCTACCTGGGGTGATTGTTTGAATTACTTGCTGTTAATGATCTTTTGTACAGGTAGGCTTCTCTCTCAGTTCATTTCATTACATCTGCATGTAATCAATGGTTATGAGCTTATTGCGTTGAAGTTAGGTTAAAGTTTTGTTTGTTTGCAGGGTTTTGTGTTTCCCACATAACTGTTGTGCTTTCTGTCTTGACTCAGGACAGTGTATGTGAATCAGTGCAAATATCCTCCTGGTCAATACTGGACTTAACAGGAGGATGGTTTACCTGGATCATCAGGTCACTGCTGACAGGATTATACAGGTATGTTTCTACCTGTTGATGGACACTTGTCACTGTAGTGCAGGTCTGTCCTCCACCTGTCATCTGTTGGGATCTGTCTGACATGTGTAGTTGTTGTATCACATTGATACACATGTAGTCTTGTAGCTTGTGTCAGCATAACAAGTGTGTGGTGTGCTGACTGGTGTGGTGTCTTGTGTGTGTTGTTTGGTAGTGTGTGGGGTGTGTGTTGTTTGGTGTGTGTGTGTTTGGTAGTGTGTGGGTGTGTGTTGTGTTGGTTGTGTGTGTGGGGTGTGTTTGGTAGTGTGTGTGTGTGTGGCAGTGTGTGGGTGTGTGTGTTGTTTGGTAGTGTGGGGGGTGTGGTGGTGGTATGTGTGTGTGTGTGGTTGTGTGTGTGTGGTTTTGTCATTGTGTGTGGTTTGGTTTGGCAGTGTGTGTGTTGTGTGTGTGGTTGTGTGTGTGTGTTGTGTTCATGTGTGTGGTTTGGTGTGTGGCCAGTGTGTGTGTGTTGTATGTGGTGTGTGTTTCTGTTGTATTGTATGTGTGTGGTGTGTTGTTTAGTGTGTGTATTGTATGTGTGGTGTGGCCAGTGTGTGTTGTATTGTAGTGTGTGTGTGTGGCCAGTGTGTGTGTTGCATTGTATGTGTGGTTTGGTGTGTGGCCAGTGTGTGTGTGTATTGGTTGTGTGTTGTGTGTGGTTTGGTGTGTGGCCAGTGTGTGTGTTTTTGTGTGTGTTGTATTGTATGTGTGGTGTGTGTTGGTGTGGTGTGTTGGGTATTATGTGTATGAAGTCAACTTCACTTATAGTGATCTTAGAAAAACCCAAACAGTGCTACTGCTGTAATTATTCCTACTTTATCTTCAGTTAATGACAGAAAATTGGAATGATTTAGCTTTTTTCTTCACGAGTTGCGCAGATGAAACTGTTATACTTTCACGGTATTTAAAAACTCCACAATTAACTGGAAAACACTCCTAAAAGTGGGATCACAAACTGAAGTCATTCCTCATATCTATCTCGCCTGAATTTGTTATACATTGTTTGATTTTTTTTTTAATTTCCCAGATTCTAGTCTTACAGAAATAGTTTACGTTAGCCTTTATGACAGTATTTTAATGAGCTTCAGAGAGACAGTAAGCACCTCTGAACATCACGTGTCATGAAGGCGTAGTGCATTCATTGTGACAACATACATATCAAGTGACACACACAACATTCTTTACCACAGAGTCATGTTGTCACTACAATAGACTCTATACCTTTCTCCTAAATGCCTTCCTCCTTACAAACCTTAATTGCCACCATATTGGTCATTCCAACAACACGCCCACATCAATGAATAGCGCACATGGCCCCATGTTCCCAGAAATGTGTGTGTAGAATTTCCTGTCATTCACATAGCCTATTTATAAGTACCTTTAATATTTTATGTCAGTAAATTGCTGTAGTGAAACTACTATCTTATCGGGGGAAAAGGACTGGAATGGATCATCCTCCCGTAGTTCCTTCAGTTGATGTGAAAGTATACAATAATGCCCTACACCCAGAGTCCCATTGTCTGACTGTTCCAGACTGTTTAACCCATTAATAAGGATTGCTTGGACTGTGATCTGCAGTTGTATCACATTCCTACATGTGGTATGTTGTCTTGTATCTTATGTCAGCATGATAACAAGTGTGTGGTGTGGTGTATTCAGGTGGTGGTAGTGGGTATATAACACATTGGTCACCCTGTGTGATGTGTGTTTATATTCCTAGTGTAGGGTGTATAACACATGTGGTCCCCCTGTGTGATGTGTGTTTATATTCCTAGTGTAGGGTGTATAACACATGGGGGTGTATAACACATGTGGTCACCCTGTGTGATGTGTGTTTATATTCCTAGTGTAGGGTGTATAACACATGTGGTCACCCTGTGTGATGTGTGTTTATATTCCTAGTGTAGGGTGTATAACACATGTGGTCACCCTGTGTGATGTGTGTTTATATTCCTAGTGTAGGGTGTATAACACATGTGGTCACCCTGTGTGATGTGTTTATACCCTGTGTGTATAACACATGTGTCATTGTTTATATTCCTAGTGTAGGTATAACACATGTGGTCATCCTGTGTGATGTGTGTTTATATTTCCTAGTGTATAACACATGTGGTCACCCTGTGTGATGTGTGTTATATTCCTAGTGTAGGGTGTATAACACATGTGGTCACCCACCCTGTGTGATATGTGTTTATATTCCTAGTGTAGGGTGTATAACACATGTGGTCACCCTGTGTGATGTGTTTATATGTGTTGTATTCTATGTGGTTGTAGTGGTGTATAACACATGTGGTCACCCTGTGTGATGTGTGTTTATATTCCTAGTGTAGGGTGTATAACACATGTGGTCACCCTGTGTGATGTGTGTTTATATTCCTAGTGTAGGGTGTATAACACATGTGGTCACCCTGTGTGATGTGTGTTTATATTCCTAGTGTAGGATGTGTAACACATGTATAACACACCCTGTGTGATCACCCTGTGTGTGATGTGTGTTTATATTCCTAGTGTAGGTGTATAACACATGTGGTCACCCTGTGTGATATGTGTTTATATTCCTAGTGTAGGGTGTATAACACATGTGGTCACCCTGTGTGATATGTGTTTATATTCCTAGTGTAGGGTGTATAACACATGTGGTCACCCTGTGTGATGTGTGTTTATATTCCTAGTGTAGGATGTATAACACATGTGGTCACCCTGTGTGATGTTTGTTTATATTCCTAGTGTAGGGTGTATAACAACCAGAGACATGAGAGCACAAAACACAACAACATGAGACACAATATCGAGAGACCCAACAACATGAGACACAATATCGAGGAACCCAACAACATGAGACACAATATCGAGGGACGCAGCAACATGAGACACAATATCAAGGGAACCAATAACTTGAGACACAATATCAGGGGATCCTACAACATCAGACGCAATATCAGGGGATCCAACAACATGAGACGCAAAGTCGAGGGATCCATTAACATGAGACACAATATCAAGGGATCCAAAAACATGAGACGCAATATCAGGGGATCCAATAACATGAGACACAATATCGAGAGATCCAACAACATGAGACACAATATTGAGGGACCCAACAACATGAGACACAATATCGAGGGACCCAGCAACATGAGACACAATATTGAGGGACCCAACAACATGAGACACAATATCGAGGGACCCAACAACATGAGACACAATATCGAGGGACCCAACAACATGAGACACAATATCGAGGGACCCATCAACATGAGACACAATATCAAGGGATCCAATAACATGAGACACAATATCAAGGGAACCAATAACTTGAGACACAATATCAGGGGATCCTACAACATCAGACGCAATATCAGGGGATCCAACAACATGAGACACAATATCGAGGGATCCAACAACATGAGACACAATATCGAGGGCCCCAACCACATGAAACACATTATCGAGGGATCCAACAACATGAGACACATTATCGAGGGATCCAACAACATGAAACACAATATCGAGGGCCCCAATAACAAAAGACACTATATTTGAAGACACTACAATGCAACGCACAATAGCACAAGGCACATAATGCTCAATGTCCGAGTGTGACGTAACAGTGAGCCAAATTTGTTAAATTGTTTGGTCAATGTCTTCACTGTCAGAATGTAAAACAACCATGGACCTAAGTTTCACTACAGAAGAAATATACCTAGTGTATGATGATATTTCTTATGAAAATATTTGACTCATGCAAGAATGTGTTTTGAAATTATTTGACACATTGTTTTGAAATGATTGTTAGAAGTGCTCTAGCTACCTGGTATCAAGATGATCGGCCTTGCAGTAGCATCTTAATTATCAATAGATCTAAACACTTGGGTAGCTGAAAGGCATAATTATGAGACTTCTGAGTTCATTAGGCCAGCAACAATCTGCTTGTGACCACAGTAGGTCTATATCTAGCCTCCTCCACACCCCATAAAGTGGTGTAATGGGCTTTGTACCCCCAGGCTGTACTGTAGGACTAGATGGGGGTGACACAGACTGGTACATGACCTGGACAGTGCTGACTTAATGTACAATGTTAATTGATATGTTACTAACCCACCAGGACAAGTGTCTTCAGTGTTACGTGTGACGCAATATTCAATCTCTGCATCTCTGTGTGACAAGCTGGATAATGGCACCCCATGTGTACTGTGAATGTTCAGTGTAGATTCGGACGCCATCACTAGCTTGATCAAAAAGAATTTTTAGATTGGTTCAATTTAAAATAATTCATAATATACTGAGTACCAATAACTTGTTATTTAAGATGGGATATGTTGAATCCCCAGCATGTTCTTTATGTAATGACCCTCTTGAGACACACCTCATACAGGTAACATCAACCACTTCCCCTCATACTGGCAGTCAGGTGTCAAATTCTGTAAATGGAATGATGATTCATCTGAATACTCTGCCATTCTTCATGGAGTGCCTGTGTCAATCCTGCAGATTTTTAACAGTTCATATCGGTGCTCCTTTCTTCCAGGCCATGGTCATGTTTTGATGGTGCTGTTTTGCAAATAGGTGCTGACAGCCCAACCCGAACCCAAACTGTGTATTACACTTTATTGACATCAGTGTTACATTAGATATGTTGATGTATTTTAACACTAAAGCTGACAACAGGCATGATAGGGTGCATGGATGTCCCAATAGGTCAACGCTTTTGGATACCAGAAACCTATGATCATAAATTCCAACTCTGACTGAAATAGTGTTCAAAGTAGTGCTAAACTGAGCCCACTCTCTGTGTTTAACAGACCACTCCCTTTAGTCAGACTAGAACTGTGTGACGTCATATCATACTTTGTCCATTGTTTCTAACCTTTTGTATGGATGTAGTATTGGACCTTGAGACGTCATATCATACTTATGTGCATTGTTGGCTCCTTTCCTTTTTTTGGTTTTTGACAGTCTCTGAATCATCAGCCAGACACTTG